CTCTCAAATTTGTATCAGCGCCTGTAGAAAATGTCGTTAGCAGCTATATGTGTTTTGACAATTTATATATTAAATCGATTAATACTACTTACGTAAATTTATTATTAATACGAGTATTAAAAAGTGAGACAGAAGTAATTTATTAGCTGTGCACGTACAAAGTTACGTATAGAATTACAATCATGTTTGTGACTATAATCTTTTAAAAAATACACAAATATACAATACTGAAAAATACATTGCACGTACCTGAAGTATTATAATCTTAGCATATATAAATGGGATATTATTTTTGTCATATTAAATTATACAAAATTGAATTAATTACTTTAATTAAACTTAATTTAATATTAATGATATTTTATAAAATATTTTTTATACTAAATATATATTAAATATGATATTATATTAAATATTTATTTACGTACACATTAAATATGAAAAGTTGATTAAATAAGAAAAGTTGATATACATTGTTGCATTAAAGTCTTGGTAAAGTTAATGAAACAATATATTGTGCGGCAATTCCTTTTTGTTAATGCGTATAACTCTTACGTAATATCGGTTCAATCGTTCACATTCGCAGTGCGTAGCATGTGTTTGACAGGTGACGGCGCAATTGTTTGTCGTTAAAGGTTCGGCGAAAAAAATTTAGTGCCGTTTCTATTAAACGCGGCTATCCACTGAACAAAAATTGCGCTTTTCCGCCAGCTGGTCGTCTGATATTAACAACGTAACAGTGCGCACTTGTGAGATCTCTCTCGGAAAAAAGTGGATCGCGTTAGATGCGAGCTACAAAATTGTTTCTATTCCGGTTGCGCATGTTAACGCGCACTTACCCTTTGCTCTTTACCAGCGCCACAGATTATCTGCTGTAAAAAAACAAAAAAATGAAAGTAACAAGGCGAATGTAAAGCACTTTCTGTCTCGCGAAAATATCTATTCTTGGAAGAAAACATATCAGAAGAAAATATTCTCAATTGCTGCCTTCAAAACAGGCATTAATTACACACGATTTTCACTCATAAATTAAGAACGGCGCGATTATGTCGGTCAAATGCAAATGCTTAATGAAAATGCATGAAGATGCAAAGAGGAGTTTGCAACGGAAGTTTGCTAATAACGTCGTCAACCGACAGGGATTTTGCTCTTGTCGATTTACGTAAAATATCACCGACTACAAAAAGCGTCCAATTATCAATATGTTCCTTTCTTTTTATTTTTTTATACCATTGCAGTGTTATTTGATCGTGACACCTCTGTAGTGTATAACGATACCTTTTTCGCGTAGCGAAATAGGAAGTGCGCTCGGTAAAGCACGTACCTACATGTACGGGGCAGATCGAAACCGAACTGAGCATGGTGTAGTTAATCTAGGATAAAGGTTTGTACATAAGTGCACATGCGTGATACGTGGCGCTAAAGATCCATCCGACACAGAGACGCGTATCCCTGGATCTATAGAGTAGCCGAATCGAGGAGCTCGGCTCTGTGGGTCGGCAAATCATAAACATGACCGATTTCTCAAGCCACTAGAATGCAAAGTGAACCGATCGGATCTGGTGTGATCTCCGGTAATTGTGATGGAATAAGCAAACGTAACCACTAATATTGTTGCTTGGATAGAACGTAATATGCGTTCGTATTATGAGAATTGTGTTATTACATACATACCTGATAATTACAAATAATTGCATATTTTTTAATCGTGAATTTTTGACATACAGAAAAATTATCATTAATAGTTTAAATATCTAGTTATCAAATAAATCTGTGAGATAATTTTGTCGAGACAGTTTTATATTTGTATGTAACATGTAAAAAAGAAAAGAAAAAAAAAAGGGATTTCTCTACTTATTCGATTATATCTTTTTGGAAAAGATTTAAAATAGTGTCCGAAAATCTGTCTATTTAAAAATGTTGAACTTACAAGACATAAAAAAAATGTATGTAGATTCGATTAAAAATTGTATATCCCTATAGATAAAATAGTCAAAATGTAAGCTCTACTTTAAACTACATAAGGGAATAAAAGTGCTACATTTTCGCATAAAGAATAATCTATTTGTATCTTTGACATTTATGCGCACATCACATCATTCAGTAAAATGATTCGGTAATTCATTCGGCGAATATTCATTTTTTCTAACATTTTACACAAGTTTTATGCAATAAGATACAATACATCATTTTTCACGCTTACATTACACATAATGCGATACCAACATCCTTTTAAAATCCGTAATACTTATTGATGTAATACTTTGATATTGTTTATTCTCTTTTTGTTAGTAAAAAAGAAACAAAAGTTTTATCTATTAAGAAACTTGCTCTGATTTGTAATACTTTACATTCTCATTGCATATGCCAGAGATGTGCAATCTTTCTTAAACTGAGGATTATTTTCAAGTATAAACAAAATTTTACGGGCCGCATAATATCTATTTTGGTAGCGTATATGTATATCATAATTATATTTATCATAATATCAATAAGGAAATTACAAATGTATATATCTATAATTTCTTTATGGACATTAAGATAAAATCTTTTATCTATTTATTCTAATTATTTATTTTAATGATCTTTTTTATTTTACACGACTGTACATAATAATAAAGATCTATAAAGATCTGTAAAGATTTATAAAAATTAAATACTTTACAAACATGTCATTTATTTATGAAATATAAGCTACATTTTCAAATATAAATTCTCAAAGATTTTTTAAAATGTACCTTAAATGGAACTGTTAAATTGTAACAATTAACGTGTAAAATTATTATTTTGATAATTTACATAAAATAGAAAATGTACATTGAAAACAATTTGTTACATCTTAATATATATTTCTTTAAATTTCTAAGTTAGCATTTATTAACAGTATGTAAATAATTTACTCAATAAAAAACTAATATATAGTTAAATCAAATTAATTATTTTTGTAGTAAATAAATATATGTATATTTACATTTAGTAAATTTACTTAGAACAATTCAAACAAATATTTATTAAGTTTTTGTTTAGTATTGTGGGTTATTTGAACGAATGATGTTCAAGTCCACTGAAAAGGCCTGACACGAAGCTTTGGTCGACCGCGACATTTCGTCCTAGTCTCACACTATTAGACTCATCAATAAGACGATGTAGTGGAGACCTGCTTATCTTAGACGTCTGGAGTAAATTTGGGTTGACGTCTTATTTAAAGAGAATCTGAGCGAGTTGCGTTCGAGTCACTCTGGTGGCGAATCGCCACAGTAATTTTTTCAATGTAATTATATATTTTTGGCTACGAGATACCGGCGGACCGCCGAAAATCAATTTAGTGGATTGCACATCACTGATATATGCTATTCTTTTCATACGTATATACGCGCGTATAAGAAATCGCAATAATACTAAAACAACTAAAACATACATTAAATACGTTTAACACACATACATTCACCTCGTCAGAATAATTAAAACTAAATTACCACAACGAATCGGCAATGGATATATAATTTACATCAGTGAATTATAGGATAAAAATATCAAGAGTTCAGAATAAAAGTAAAACTCGTGTCATATACTCTGAACGGTCAAACTACGCTATACAAG